TCAATCAAGCAAATTAATTTGCTGATCATGTTAAATGTTACATTAAAAAATCAAAATAAATCCACTAAATCAATGTTATAAGAAAAGAGAGCCATTCGATACTTGTTCTGGTTTAATATAGAGTTATACAGAAAAAGTAACAATTTAAGATGGAGAGGAGAGAAGAATAGATTTTTTCCAACCCTAGATGGATCACTCACAGGGGTCCATAGAAAACAGAATATCCATGTGAAGACTGAGAATTAAAAGACATGCAGAAATAACAATTCAATTGTTTTATAAGCCAATCTTAAGCTTTTTTTTGCTAGAGGCCTGTTTCCTGCACAAATTGGCACTGTTTCTAAACAAACTAAATTAACTGCACTTGCCAAGCAGGTGCTTACTATTTCACATTCCCACTGATAGCTGACTGCTAACAATACTACAAATATATCACAGAGACACAACTCTGTTCAAACCACACACTGCACGTATTAGGAACATGACAACATATAAGTTACAAATGAGAGAACCATCCAGTTCATTCGGCTGTTAGTGTTTAAGTGATCTGAGGATCTTATCCAACAGCTTTCTGAAAGAAGCCAGGGAGTCAACTTCAGCACGACTGAATAGCTAATGTAAAAAAGCTTTATGTAAAAAACTGATTTCTGGTCTGTTCTTTATGCACTTCAGTGAGAAAAAGGAAAGCACTGTAATGTTGAACTGTTTTTCACCTTTTGCTTTTGATAATCTTCAACCTACAGTTTGGAATATTGCAGTCAAATGTTGTTTAATTTTCTTTAAGCAAATGCCCGTTTACTAGTGTACCTCCTTGCCAACGATAAAAAAATACAGCGATTCCATTTTATGAACACAGCAGGTAACGCGGAGGGTAGACTCGTGAAAAAGAGCCAAAATCAACTTCTTTAACCTCATTAATATACAATCTACCACTGTACTTAACTTACTTTAACATCCTTATATACAAGAGAGTTTATTTTTATAGCCTTAACCATGTGGAAATGTAGTTTATGGAAAGTTTACTTCACTGCAAGACCTCAATACCTTTTCCAGAAAAAACAGTTCCATAAAAGGACTTTGAATGACAAATTATTAATTCAACCAGAAATTGAAATCAGAGATTATAATATTCTGCACACCAAAATGATCTTGTCCACTCCACAAATGTTAGGGTTAAGCTTTCACACTTTACATGTCTTGTTTACAAAATAAGAGGAGGTGGCTGAGAATCCATGTTGTGTCAGAACAGACAAGGCATATACTGAGCATTCTTCTATACAATACCAAAATTGTTTTACCAGCCTAAAATATAAAGAAATTAACATGCCCAACATAAGTCAAATACAAAGGATTTAATCAAAATACACTGGACATGTAATAACAGTCAAGGCGCAAGTTTTTAAATTACATTTTTGGATTCAGTTTTAAATGTGACTATACAAAATTGTAATCATTCTCAGTTCAATCAGTTTATTCTCACTAAAAACCTTGTACTATTAATAAGTCACAAAAATAATTCCTTATGATTGCACTGTGGTGTCTGAAAATACAAAAAGAAAATGCCTTCCTCAAACCAGATACCAATGGAATCTCAAACAGGGTACCTTAACACTAACATTCAGCTAAACAATCGTCCAGCCTGGAATACTGGAAAGGACCACAGTCCATTCCAGAGCACAGAATATTGTCTTTCAAAAGAACATTTATCCTGTGGCATCATCTTGTTGTAAAGCTGATAATCTGGATAACTAAACAAAGGAAATAACTAACAATAATGCATACTGGCAGTACAGGCTTCCTGTTGTTCAGCACTGCATGCTGCTTGTCTGACAAAAAAAAACCCTTTATTTCTGACTTCACTTTTGCATCTTTGGATTACTAATAAAAACTTAAATTTTGTTATCCTTTACAGGAATGATGGACAGAGGAGTTATGACCCTGACAAAACTTCATCGCATGTTAAATTTCCATTAGTGACAGACAAAATTAATTTATCTGTGTTCCTAACTCCCTGACAATTCCATGACAGTATGACAAAAGGCTTGATGGCAAGCAGAAACAGAACAACAAAGACTGGGAGTGTCCATCAAAAAACAAAAGAAATTGTCGCCTTAGAGGCATACTGTAGCAATTCACTTCTGAAAGACCAAAAGAAAACATGAAAAAAAAGATTCAGATCTGTGCCGCTCTTCAGAAAATAAACTAGCAAAGATCCAAAAATTCCACATGTGGCTTGCTAAAAATAATTGACACTATTAATCAAATAAAGATTAACGTAAAACGTTGCTAGGAGAATTGGAGAGATAGACCCTAAAACTTATAAATACATCAGAGAACAGTAGATTATTCTTAGTAACAAAGAACTACTTCAGAACTATCACCAAGGCCCAGCTTTCCAGTCTGAATTGTTTTAAGCATTTAAAAGTCAAGGAAAAAAAACTTTTAAAAAGCTAAAAAGCATTCTTTTTGTTTATTTGAGCTAAAATTAATGGCTACTGGAAACTGTGGCAGGACAAAAAAAACATTTTCTTCATTCAAGCCAGATGCCAAAAGAATCACAAATGAGGTACTTTATCTTCTATAAATAGAAAATAATATTTGTAGGAAGGTATGAGGGAATGACATTTTATCAGTGTTGGTCATCTGGTCTTATTTCTTTCTGTCACTGCTGTAATAAAGCTCCAAAAAACCTATACAATATTGTGCTGGCTAGAATGAAAATCCCAATCTGTTAGTAATAGCCTAGGACAGAGACTACAAAACAGACCTAATGAAACAAGACAAATCTAATAGTACTTACAGTTTTCTCACTCATTATAACATATTCTCTATGATGGAGAATGAGAAGCTAAACTACAGCCGACTTTTAGAGTGTACAATCTGAATTCTCATAAGTACAATATTAAAGTCTTGCATTTAGTTTCCTGTTGGCTTTGCAGATATCAGAGGTTTTAAAAAAATGTTGCCCCTATCATTCCTGCTATGCCAAATGTACAAAGTATTGTTTATAGTACCCTTTTTGGCTGGATATATTTAACACATTAGTTTCCGAGATACAAAAGAGTATACAGAGTAACAGGATAGTTAATGTCCTGCCCCTTGATCTGAAAGCCCATTTTTCTCAGGGCATAATTTCACTGTTAGATTTTGGAGAGGCAATGAAAAAAAAAGTATTAAGACAAAACTATGCAATTTGTTGCTGCACTTTCTGGCAAAGAGTCTAACATATCTGCCAACATATGACAAAAATATTCCAACTCATGGATCCAGAGTATCCATAGGGACCACCCAAACTTTCCTCACTGTAAGCTCCCACAAGCTCAATACTGTCACAAGCTTTGTGGCTTTGTGTCGTTGCTCTGAGCTTGCATATGGACTCCAGGCAAAAAAAGCAGAAAACAATTAACTGTTTCTTGCATAAAACTGTAGAATTAAAACAAATGTTTAAAAATGCTGTTTTGTATGTACATTGCAGCTACTGTAAGCTACATATATATATATATTGTCCTATACTAAGTAAATGTTACTTAGTTGGCATGTAAAAATATGCCTTTCCCCTATACTGGTCATTATGCCAGCATCTCTACATGCACCCTAGAATGTAAGAATACAGTAATGTATAATTCAGATTATTAATCCATACAAAACAAAGATAAATATTGGACATCATAGGTCCTTCACTAAGTGGTCCAATTCCAGTACAGTTGAAGGTTCCGGAGTATTTGAGATTATATACCAACCACCAAACAAGTTGGTGTAAAAGAGTGCCTCCTCTTGTTTGAAACAGTTATTATAATGGCTGCTTCAGATACTGATATTTTCAAAATGAGAGTTTCACCTATTTTTACAAAAATACAGATATCCTAAACTGTACTGAACAGAATAACAGGTGTTGACTCAACTACAGAATTAAATAATATCCTATAAAAAAAATCAATCAATCAAACTCATAACTCTGCAGAGTGGGTTAAAATAGGTAAAGGTACAAAGACCCACATTATTGCTAAACAAAACTCCTACACTCCTACCATGAGATGAGCTCTACAATGTTTTGCGTGACTAATATAATTACAGTACCTTTTCTCATCACTTTAGTGTGGGATGGTCCTCTATCAACCTGATAACGCCTAAGTACCTGAGAGTCTGTATTATATAACAATTCATAGATACTGTAATATATCAGTATTCTCCATGGCAATGACTAATCGGGTTTCTTGTTTTCACATAACTGCAAAATGTGCATTCCCCATGGTTTACATAACCATGGGTAACATGGCATACCTTATCTAAATGTTAGAGGGAACAACATTCTGACATTCAACAGGACTGTGTTTGAATGAAGGCAGGAATAATTATTAACTAACATGATATTCCTGAGTCAACAGTAAGATTAAAAAACAATGGATGAAGCTACTGGAACTTAAGATGAAGTACAGACAACAGGGTGTATGGATTTTTTATTCTATAACATGGATATTCTAGTTACAGAGTAAGTAATAATAATAATAATAATAATAATAACTTATATAGCGCCTTTAAAGGTGGCTTATAAATGCATTCTGCAATGCAAATCCACTTTTAATGGCATCTAAGAGGTCAGGAGACCTTAACAAGGCAGAACTTAATTAAACTGATAGTAGTATCATGTGCTAACAGAAAGTGAAACAAGCTTGCTTTTTTCATTATCTGAACGCTTTAAACTCCCGGCAAATATATCTGTATTTTAAACAGTTCACTTACTACTTTTAGATGAGCATTCATTTTTGACAGCACAGCACATCCCTTCCACCATTTTTATCATTTAAAAATCACAATCCTAGATTCACAAAAGTTTTCTAACACTTAAGATACACACTTTGGAGACCAAAAAACAACAAGTTCGATTTCATTTTTAAAAGAACTCTTTATAACATTGTATGAAGGTCACAAAGGTCTCTCTTTAAACGTCCATTATCCTAAAACGTTCAGAAAAGCAGAACACTAACCATAAAGGAGCTTACCTGTAAACAATTTAGTGACAGCTTTATTCTGCTTCCGAGCTGAGCATATCAGTAACAGCCAGGGAGGAAAGAACTCGTGGTGGCTAGCTAAAAGCTCAGCAATAGTACGGGAAGGGCTTGAAGATCTCTGCTCCCCTTCTCCGAAGTGGCATCCCTCATCAATGGAATCAACAAGAATGAAGACAGACTGCTGTGGAGCCTTCACTCCCAGAAGGGGAAGAAGAATACACCTGTGGACAGACAAAACTGCTTTTAGACCATCTCAGGAAAACTGTCACAACACTAATGAAGACGTGTATCTTAGGACAAGCTTGCAAACTGCAAATTCACAATCACTGCTTAACTTTTCAACATAAAAACTCACAGCAACTGTTTCAATCAAAGACTCATTCTTTCTTTCTGGCGCACTATGGCTGCCGTCGCATCATCCAGGGGGATGCTGCACATCATACTGTCAGGCATATCAATGAATCATTAAGATCAGGAATTGTTCTCACAGCCCTTAAATGTGACGTATTAGACCAGACAGAAACTCACTCACCTTGACTATCCACTAATTACAGTGCCTTGCAAATGTATTCAGACCCTTGACCAACTCTCTCATTTTACTGAATAACAAATCCTAAATTGAAATGTTGTTCTCTGTGATATTTTTATTTTTACCACACATATGTAATAGTGAAAAGGCTCTTCTTAGTTTTACTAATGATTCATTATGACTGCTGACTTTTTTTCTTATCCTATTGGATCTCACTGCAGCCTTGTAATTTCATCTAAGCTATCTATAATAAAAAAAACACACACAAATAGGGTATTTTTCTTGGTGTCACATTTGGCATGCCACAGGCTTATTCTTGGTCAGATTCTTTTTCAAATGTATAATTTACCATCGGATTATATTCTTATTAGGTATGGTATCAATTTTCCTTTCTGTGCTGATGACACACAAATTTATGTTCATAAGAAACAGGACATAAATCAATGTTTTACAACTGAATTCTGACAAGACTGCAGCTATGCTCCTTATCTACTCCACAACTGTCAACTGAGTCAACCTCAGTCTGATTTTGATGGTACTGGAATTGTTCCAAGGACTCAACATGTCAAGAATCTTGGTTTCATTGCATTTGAAGTTTGTGGTTACAATGATGTGAAAAGGCCCTATGTTCTTGAAATTGCTAGTATCTATTCACATTTCTCCCAATCTGGGAAGAGCTACTGCATGCATTTATCTTTTCCTGGCGTGATTAGTGTTATACAGGTATTGTTAAGTGTATGCAAACATTCTTAAGTTACAGCTTGTTCAGATCTCTGAAGCCCAGACGAAAACTAAAATATTAAAATGGATAAGTACCTCTCTGTTTTTTTTAACTTCCATATAATGTCTCCATGTGATGGACGTCAAGAAAAAATATTGTTCTTCATTAATGGCTTGAAGGTTTTGACTCCTAAATACATCAGTAAACTGTTATCCTTTTATAAACCTACGTGCCATTTGCGTTCTTTAGACTACTTCTTTCAGCTTCAATAACTAAACTCAAGATCTTGGGGATTGCATTTTCTGTTGCTCCAAGGATATGTGCAATCATCTCTATGACAATATTAGACCTTGAAAGTTAATTTTCTCTCTGTAAACATGTTTTTATAAGCCTACTTTTACCTCAACTTAATTTCTTGTCTTAAATTGTCTCCTCGTGTCTCTTTGCTTTTTATTTAAATATAAAGCACCATGAGATTAAGAACATTGTTATACTTAATCCTTTAGCTCTAGTGATATTGACTACTATAATGTGCTCGAGAATGCAAAACTGATAAATAATGTGTTTATATACTCAGCACTTTGTTTTGAAAACTCAGATGTAACAATACAATTTTAGAGAATACATCAGTTTTATATTATTTTTATCTCTTTTTTGCATTTCCACAACTACTAGGTCTACTACAAAAGGCTAGCAAAACTGTCAAGTGTCACATGACATGATACATACAAAATCTATAAATCGGAAACCACTACATACAATATAGTGACCAGCACAAACCTATTCCCAATGGGTAAAGTTCAGCCTTTTCATAATCTGAACATTTACAAACAGATAAAACCAGCTCACACAATAAATAGTAAAACAATATACAGTTCACTAACTAATTAACTAATTTTCTGAATTTATCAACTGTCCCAATATTTAGGATTTATTTCCAAGTCTCCGCATGGGGAGATAATTAAGATAAGATGACTCTTTGTACCTTTCTCTTCCCTAACAATGCTGGGAAGACTTTTCACAATGATTCTGAAATGGATATAAATTATCAAAAGTTGCAGACAGTGGCTATACTTAAATATAGTACAATACATTAAAAAAAATTAAAATCAAATAAAAAATGAGGGTATTACATACATGTACTGTATATGCTTTTTTTTCTTTTCTCAAAAGGCCTACAATATATACAATATATTCTGTGCCACTCAAATGTTTTGACTGAGCAAGCATTCTCCATGAAATGGAGATTTTTTTTGGTACTGCTGCTGTTGTTCTCCTATTACTAATTGCTACAGCAAGTTGCTCCTGCGATACGTGTAGGGTAGACTGAATTCTCTTAGACAAGTGTCATTATTCACAGTGCATATGCTGATGGCACCACCGCAATGCAACAGATTGGGGATTATTTGAACTGCAGCTGCTCATTTAGAATCTTTCTCATCTTAATTATCAAAAGCAAGATTCCCCAAAAGTCACATAACTGTAACGAACGACAAATTCTGCGCATGAAGGGGTGTGACTCAGAGTCAAAGATTCATCCCTCCCCCACCTATGCAGACTGAGATTGTTGCAGAAACCAGTTTTCCTTCACTTTACAACCCAGCTGTTACTAATCAATTACACAAATAATGGACAAAGGTAAAACTCACAAGGTTTACTGGGTTCAACAACTTAAACATGGGGACATGGGATGAATCAATAAAAACCTGAAACCATGAGAAGTTATTTGTAGTAATAAATTTGCTTACTATCACGTTTTCTTTTTCTTTTTAGATAACTTGCCCTTTAAAGTAAGTTTGCTTTGCACTCACACAGTCCTTATAGTTCTTATAGGTTTAAATAGAATTATTTAAAACTAAAATGACCAAACCAGGAATGGAGATTATAGGAAGCTGTAACACTTGGATTACAACAAAGTAAACTTTTCAGAAAACATTTATGCACTTGTATAGGCAAACATAAAAATAACTTAATAACCATAATTTGTACTATTGCTGCAACTGTTTTGACAGCAGTTTTGTATTTTACCTTAAGGAAGGGTTGAAGGCCAAAATATTTTATGGATTGAGCATTTACAGGGTTCCTACATGTGCTCTGGAGTAACCCTGACTACATATACACTCTTTAAGGAACTAAGATGCAGTTTTTTATTTGACCTTCACAAAAGGTCAATGGTCATAGATTAGTACATGTTTGTATAGAGCACTTATGGTTTCCTGTATGTTTTACACAATAACCATGACCCTGTCAGCAATCTGTTGAAAGTTAGGAAAAGATATGAATAAACCTCTAGAAACAGTCTCAAACTCAATCTTTCTAGTGTCAAGTATCTTCTCTTATTCCAACCTGGGTAGTAATTTAAATTGACCTAATAGTTCTTTTAGTTAGAACAATGCAGCATTTTCTTTCAGGATTTTGTGTACCTGACAAACTCCACAACAGTATAACAGCAGTTGAATCGTTCAATTATGTCAGGCCGTAGACAAAGAACCGGCAGCAATTTTAGTTTTTGTGTGAGGAAGTTTTATAACAGTTAAGAGTATCTGGAGTTGCACACATACATAAGATGGCTTTCACAAGGATGTGCTAAGACATTTTGGAGATGTTTTTGAACCACCTTAACTTTCCGTTTATGGGTGTGGAGAGTCATTCTTGGACAACAGACTTTATTGCTCCCTGTGAAGGGTATCAGCACTTGAGTTAAATCATGAAGTAAGTAATTACTATGAGGAGGTTCAATCAGATGAATGCAAAAAAATGCAATTAAATTCCAAGAAGGCGCAGAAAACAAATTTTAAACATTAGATGTTTTCCCAGTAAAAGTTTCATAATTAAAATATACTAATGAAGCATTCTTCCAAGCATCCAGAGAAAGCCAATCATCATAGAATCACGAAGATGAGTATAAGGGTTTCCAGTGGCAAAGTTTTGAGCTGAATGATATAAAATATCATGCTTTCCAAACATCATCAAAATCACCACCAAGCACATCTGTAGAGGAATATGTAAAACAGGATTTGCAGTTATAAAGGAAACCAAGTTTTAACTTCATTTTTTAATTTGTGAGATTAGAAAGTTTGAGAATTATACAACCAGATGTTTTGACATTCATTAATGGTACAACTGTATCTTAAAGTGAATTTTTTAGGATTGTTACTGAGGGATAACATATGGAACCGTATAAATTTACTTTTATTTGTTCTTCACAAAGGAAGATCATCTCATATCACAACTATATGATATGAGAGTTGCCTGTCGTCTGACCACCACAGTTAAAACAAAGAAAAACAATGTGCCCAGGCCAGAACTTTGGGGGACTCCTTTACTAATTGGAAAGGATTGTTAAATCAGATTTAACACACTGGACAGTGATAATAGCAATTCTGACACCATGGATTGGAGTTCTTACCAAGATTTATACTACACAACATTTTCAGAAGAACAGAGTGATCCACAGTACCAAAAGCCTTAGATAAATCTGTAAAACTATCGGCACATGTGACATTTTTGTTGTTGATGTTTAAGGCTTGTATTGTAATACTTTGCCTAAGCAGTGAAAATTGAAAGGGTATGGAAAGGTAACAAATATAATTAAAGCTGCTCTTTGGCAGAAGGTTTCTATTGGAATACAGAGAAGCATTTACCTGAAAAAATCTCAGAAAGCTACCGTCCTCAAAAGTACAACAGTGGCACCCCACCTGGATTTTTTTAACAGACAATTTTCTAGCTGTAAATCTGGAGTATTGACTACTACTCCATTCCACTGTCCTACAAGATCTACCCTCTAATGATCAACCCTTTCACTTCCATTACAACAGCACTCTCTGATTCCGAGTTAACTAGCCTATGTGGTGCTCAACATGGCTCATAGAAGAAAATCATATAAATCATAATGAATAAGAATGCATATTTCACTAGATCTTTAAGACTAACTCCACACATGCTTAGCTTTGTTTTCTTGTGCAATCTTG